CACACACACACACACACACACACACACACACACACACATACAAACACACAATCTTCCAACGTCCTTCACTCTGTTCAGTTTGTGTCTGAGTCCCTTGAGGTTGCCATGTTAACAGATGCTCTTTCTCTCTAGGGTCTTCCTGGTCCTCAAGGTCCGATTGGACCACCTGGAGAAAAAGTAAATTCTTTTATTTTCTTGTTTTTATTACAAAACAAAAAAAGTTCCTTCATGTCAGGATGTTTGTTTAGAAAACTGCTTCCTGTTTGCTGTCACTGATCTGTGGTCAACGCTGTGTTTGTGTCGTCTCACAGGGACCTCAGGGCAGGTCTGGGTTACCTGGATTACCTGGAGCTGATGGTCCTCCGGTGAGTCTCTGGATCCTGTGATTCAGACAGAAGGTTTACCTGGAACTTTTTAGACCTTTTTCTTCCTATTTGTTCCCTCCTGTCAGGTGTTCACAGGTGAACGTTTTCCTGGGCGCTGCTCATGACGCTCTCTTCTAACCGTCCCACAAACTGCTGCTAGTTTTCACTTAATCAGTCCGGTTTTTAAACGATCCCTTTTCTGTTCTTCGCATTTTGCTTCAGATGTTCAGAGCAGCTCACAGGCTGCTGACTGGTGGTGTTATCAGTGTTAAATAACATTATTAACCATGATTAACGTGTATTCTTGTCCCACAGGGTCATCCTGGTAAGGAGGGTCCAGCTGGAGAGAAAGGTGCACAGGTAAGTGTGTTTACCTCACAGCCTGTTGACAGGAAGAGAACAAAACAAGCAAAAAGCTTCAATCACTTCCTGGTTTAGCCGCAGGTGTTAGTTCTACATTAGTAAAGTCCAAAAACTTTCTAAACATTCTTGTTGAAACATGACCCCAAACACCAAGAGCCAGAGTTCTGTGAACCGTTAAACCTCTAGTAATTTATATTTCCTTAAATAAAAGTATTAAAACCTGTTGAGCTGATTCTTTATATTTTGCATTTAAAGCTGGTTGAGTTGATACACAGTTAAAAGTGGTTTATAAATAATATTAATCAGGCTGCTCATCAGCATCTTGAAACAAAGCTGTGAATTCACAACCGTTTCTTTGCGTTAGGGTCCACCGGGTCCCCAAGGTCCTATTGGTTACCCAGGCCCTCGTGGTGTTAAGGTCAGTTTTGTTTCTGTACTCGTGTGTGTGTTTGACTGTTTGGTGCACTGAGTTACACATKCTCTGCTTCCTGTCCAACAGGGTGCTGATGGTGTCCGTGGTCTAAAGGGATCCAAAGGAGAGAAGGTACACGCTTGTTAAAACCTTAAATCTGTCAAAATAACTTRGTGTTGTAATGTTTGCATTTGGAAATCCATTTTATGTGCAGTGACATGAGAAAGCAGAAGTAAATGTTGTAAAAAGTGAATTTTGTGATGTGACGTATTCCTGTTTTGTAAGAAAGTTATGGTAAATACTTCATGTAAAGCATGATTTGTTGTGTCTTGRTGGTTTTATTGCTGCGGGGTATCTGCATCGTCCTGCCTCTGTTCTTACATGAGTTTATTGTAATGTCTGAACTGTAGACACCTGACAGCATCTACCACCATCGCACTGTCTTACTTACCATCTAAGTATAAAAGCCAGTGGAACGCAGCTCTAACAAGAARGATAAGATAAAACATGGTGACCAGTATTAGCATAAAATCCTCAATGAATGCAGAACACTGTAGTCATGTAGACAGAGCGTTAGCATAAAGTTACTGCTTAAGGCGTACATGTGATGCTACAACCTYATTTTGCAAAACCAATAAATCCACTTGGCTTTGCAGAAGATCCCACTAAGTATGCAAGAAGAAAGGATGTTACGTGAGTTAGTGAATAGTGTTGTATTTCTTCAGCACAGAGGATAAACCTGTTGCAACCTGCTGGAGGTAAAAAAAAAAAAAGCTAAAGTATCAAATCATAAAGACCTGTTGGTTTCTTGGTCATACCAGGCCTAAAACTAACCCTGACCATAAATAACTGTTGGTTTCTTGGTCATACCAGGCCTTACCCTTACCCTGACTGGAACATCCTGTTGGTTTCTTGGTCATACCAGACCTAACCTATACCCTGATCAGAACGACCTGTTGGTTTCTTGGTCATACCAGGCCTAGCCCTAACTCTGATCAGAAAGACCTGTTGGTTTCTTGGTCATACCAGGCCTARCCCTAACYCTRAYCARAAAGACCTGTGGGTTTCTTGGTTGTACCAGGCAAGTCAGATGTGGTAAAGTGAGTTGGGGGATTTAAGATCTGCTGCTTTGTGTCGTTTTGTTTGTGTCAGGGTAAATAAAGGCTCTGAGCGTTTATTTCTATTATTATTTTTATTTATCACTATTTCCAGCTAGAGAATAAAAACATTTAAAATGATTGTTTCAGGCTGTTAAACCCCCCAGTTTCTTATTGATCTGACAGATGGTGGAGGGTTGGTCTAAACTTGTCTGCTTGCGGTAAAAAATAAAATCAGGTACAAAAAGTCRGAGAGCTGCTGATAAGTGAATTCATGTCACAGACATTCTGCTGCTTTGTGTGGACACTTCAGAGCTGAAGTGRACGTTGGGTTCAGACTGAACTCCAGGCCGAAGCTAGTCGATGGTCATCCTCAGTGGAGACACCAACGGTCTGTGAAGTGGCTCAGGGTTAAACTGCTCCTTCTGAAGGCGTCTGGTCCAAGAAACCCCTGCAATCAGTCCGAAGCACTTTTCCCTTTGTGACACAGCTGAGAATTTAAAGTAGCTTGAATACGCAGGATTTTTTAAACGTATGATCAATAAGTTAATGTGGCTGGAAAAACCTCTATTATCTGAGTGAAAGGTGCTGCTCTGGCTGCAGGGATAGCTATCTGTATTGAATTATTTATAGCAGCAGAAACTACAGGCCTTGAGGAGAAAGAAAAAAAAACTTTTTGCTATGAATAAAGGATGTGTTTTACTTAAGATGTGTGGTGGTTCCTCAGGATGCAACTTGGTGGCAACAAACATGCTCGGTGTTGCATTATGCATTAGCTGGTGTCCAGGTCTCAAACAGAACACAGACTGGACCCACAAGGTGTCAAAGTGAAGAGCAGCATCCCTCACTGTACACCTGTGTTAAAAAAATACACAGAATCCTTCAAAAGAAGCCCCTGAATATTTAACATCAATTCATTTATCCTCAGGACTTGAGTTCTGTGTTGTTCCACTGATCGGCCAGCAGGTGGCAGCACCAGTCCTACGATGCTCCACAACTAAACTACGAACACTTTACCTCTTCATGAAGGATTAACAGATATTTTAAATAAAATAGTGAAAGAGTCCCYCTGTTTCTATTTTTAGGGCGAAGACGGTTTCCCAGGCTTCAAGGGGGACATGGGGATCAAAGGAGACCGGGTGAGCCGCTTGAATAAAGTCACATGATTTGTTTACACTCGTTTCATATTAGTTTGTAATATCATAAATAAATATACTTTGTTTGGTTRTGGATCACAGGGAGAACTAGGCATGCATGGACCCCGTGGAGAGGACGGTCCAGAGGGGCCTAAAGGTCGAGCCGGTCCCAACGGAGAGTCTGGACCTATTGGTCCTGCTGGTGAGAAGGTAACTGGACCTTTTTTTAAAAAAAATATTCTTTAAAATGTGTTTTTTTCTCTAACTGTGGTTGTTGATGCCTCTCAGGGTAAACTGGGAGTTCCAGGATTGCCAGGTTACCCTGGAAGACAAGGACCAAAGGTGAGTCTGGTCCTTTTATGTTCTACTTGTAAAAACATCAAAGGTAGTTTTGACACCAACGGAGTGATTGTCTTCATTTGAATATGACAGTAAATACTCAAGACAAATAAAGTTATTATGTTGAAAAAAGAGAGACATTAATTCATTAATTAATTCATCCATYAGTTTGTTTATTTACCCATCATCCATTCATCCACCTGTTAAACACTTCAGTCTGATTGTAAGGGTTGTTTTATTTAAAATTAATCCACTCTTACATGTTGAAAACTAAATTTGATAGAAGTTTTGCGTTTTTTATTGATTTCATTTTATCAAATGTCTCCAATGCAACATGATGGTTTTCTACAGAAAGGGTAAGCTGTTGTTTTAATCTTTTCCTCATGAGGCAACAATAACTAAATACATAAAAGGACAATAAAGTGTCAGTWTTATGAATGTAATCAATTTTATACCCTCACTAACCAGAATATCCCCACACAAAGAGCTGAAATAATAATACTGTCTCTCAACACCACTGCAGAGAAATACAACCTGAGCTTTTATTGTTCTGTAAAGTTTGACCCACATCTCCATCCATGAAATCTCTTCCTTCTATCCACAGGGCTCAAGTGGATTCCCCGGGTTCCCTGGAGCCAACGGAGAGAAAGGAGCCAGAGTAAGAAAAATACACAGACAGAAACTGCTCTCAACTCTTTTAGATTTTGGTTTTCTTTCCATTAGTTATTCAGGTTTTCACAGACTTATACTCTCTGTTTATTATTAAAACTGGACAACAGGAGCCCTATTAGATCACATTTCTATCATAATATTATTTAATAAGATAAATAGTTTGTCCTMTTTTACAAAAGATGACATGTCTTAAAGGTTAAGTTGATGTTTTATAGAACCAGATAGATGACCGATGGATCTTTAGTCAGAATACTTCAGGATTATGAAACCAAATCCAGGCAGCCTGTTCTGATGCCTGTTGCAGGATGTACAGGCTGGCTTAAAAATCCCTTTACACCTGACTAAGGTCCAAAGTGCTTCCAGAGGTTGGTTAGTTAGTTAGTTAGTTAGTTAGTTAGTTAGTTAGTTAGTTAGTTAGTTAGTTAGTTAGTTAGTTAGTTAGTTAGTTGGTTGGTTGGTTGGTTGGATAATTGGTTTGTTGGTTGTTAAGCTGGGTAATTAGTTAGATGATTGATTGATTGGTTGGTTGGTTGGTTGGATGTTTAGTTGGGTAATTACTTACTTGGTTGGTTTGGTTGGTTGGGTAATTAGTTGGTTGGGTGTTTAGTTGGGTAGTTACTTGGTTAGTTGGGTATTCAGCTGGTTGGTTGGTTTGTTGTAAAGTTGGGTAATTAATGAGATGGTTGGTTGGGTGTTTAGTTGGGTAATTACTTGGTTGGTTGGTTGGTTGGTTGGGTATTTAGCCTGTTGGTTGGTTGGTTAATTGTAAAGTTGGCTAATTAATGAGATGGTTGGTTGGTTGATTGGTTCATTGGTTGGGTGTTTATTGGGTATGAGTAATTACTCAGTTGGTTATTAGGGGTGTAACGATGCATCGATCTATACCGATATATCAGTTTTAATGGTTCATGATTCAGTTACTGTATATCGAGGCAAAATAAAAATATCGATCTATATTGTCATCATATGCTCAATGGGAATAGAGATCGTATGCTCATCTAACGCAGTCATTGTGTTAGATGGGCATATGATATTGCATTATATCGATTGCAGACATGTGAATTTAAATCATATTGTGACAGACTTCGTATATCAAGAAATATCGAATCGTCATCCAAACATATCGATGTAATATCGTATCGTGAGAAAGCTGGTGATTTACACCMCTTAGTTGGTTGGTCAGTTAATTAATTTGGGTTAKTAGTTAGTTGGCTGGTTGATTGTAAAATCTTTGAGATACTAATCACAAGTTATTGTTTTAGAGGAAGGAACAAATTCTTTGTTCATAGTAATGATAATGTTTTCCTGTTGTTCAGCAGCGTGACATGGAAACAAAGAGTTGTGACTGAAATGTTCTGGTTTTGGTTCTTTAACAGGGCATCGCTGGAAAAGCTGGTCCAAGAGGTCAACGAGGTCCAACGGTCTGTCCTGTTTCTAGTATTATTTTTTTAAATTTATTGAACAGTATTGATGCAGACGGTGAAATCGAATGCATAACAACACAAGTTAAAGTTTCTTGTTTTGTTTGTAGGGTCCCCGAGGGGCTCGGGGAGCCAGAGGTCCAACAGGAAAACCTGGTCCAAAGGTGAAGACAGAGTCTTCTCGTTCTGCTGCTCATTCAAACTTTAAATGTTTAGATGTTGAAGTGATGCAATCTTGTGTCAGATGAAGTTTGTATTTTCTGGATGTTTTGTGATGTTGTTGTTGTTTTGTTTCAGGGCACAGCTGGAAACGATGGTCCTCCAGGCCCGCCCGGTGAGAGAGTAAGTCTGTAAAACTACCAGTCCTGCATTCTCTCTGGGTTTCAGATCTCTATATTTTACACCCAGTGTTATAATAAAGTGTATTTCTGCGATAAAAGAAMAAAATGCTCTACATCAAGACTTTCTGCCCGAGGAAACCAGCTCAGCAGGAAAGTTAAAGAAACGTAGTTTCTGCACAATAAAAGTCTCTCAGCAGCAGCAGCAGCGTGTTTAATAGGTTTCATCAGATTCTGTTGGGTTTACAGCAGTGCTCCTCTGCATGTTGAAACTAAGGGATGAAGGGAAAAATCAGCAAGAAATTGATTTGCATTTAGCAAATTAGCACTAAGTTTATGTAATAATTAGCACAGAGTGGGGGAGAATTAGCCCCCAGAATTTCAATATATTTCTGATTCTGGCTTTGCTTCTTTTAGATCCCATCTTAATGACTTCCTGTTTATTGATTGCAGGGACCTCAAGGACCACAGGGACCTGTCGGTTTCCCTGGACCAAAGGGGCCCCCAGTAAGTTTTAAATTATTCCCAGTGAGCTGCAACATTTCAGCTTCTTTTTCACAGTCTGTCTCTAAACTCAGCTTTCTTCCTTCTCTTGTAGTCTGGTTGGTAAATATTGTCAGAACTGACTCAAACGGAGAATAAAACCTCCTGCTCACAGATTATTGGTTTCTTATTGAAGCAGTTTTATTATTTTACACTGCAGTCTGTACAGGCAGTCATTTTTAATTATTGATTCCAGTTACCATCATAAGTACCTCTCAGCTTTTACTCAGTGATGTTTGTTTTTCTCCAAAGAAATGTTGTATTTATTTTTCATTAATCTGACTGAGACTTTTCCTTTTTTGAATATCTTATTAAAAATTTACGGCTTCAAACAGGAAGTCTTTTGTTGGGCTGGTCTTCAGTTAGTATTCTGATATAACCTGATGTTTTACTGAGTGAGTGGACACTGTGTGTTGATTTCCACCTAACAGGGACCAGCTGGGAAGGACGGGCTGCCCGGACACCCCGGTCAGCGTGGAGAGACGGTGAGAGCCGACTGATGCTTGGTTAAAAGTGATGTGTTGATGTTCTTGTTTTCAGCCCAACAGAAACCAGACGTTAGTCTGTGACATGCATATGCTTCAAATAGAAAAAGTCAAAGAAAACTTCTTTATATTTAAGAAAGTTGGAATAATACACACAATTTAACCCATTTTGTCACATAACTGGCATATTTTCCTTTGAACTTGGCTCACCCAAAGTGAAACAGGAAGTGACATCAAAGGGGAACTCATTAACAAAGAAAACTCTGGTCTTTGTTTATTGAAACAATATTATTTGAACTCTAACTCGTCTTCATCTCTCTGATAGAGACTCAAAATAATCTTAAGAAACATCAGATTCTTCTCCACAATTTGGGTTGTTTGTTTTTGTAGCAACGCTCTGTTCACATGCAGACATTCCCCTTTGACATYACTTCCTGTTACTTCACAGGCAAATATCTCAACAACCGTTCATCTCAGCAACATGAAATTTCTTTTGCAATATTTTATCAATGTCCTCTTTCTAAAAATTGCTTTTATATTTAATACAAAAATTGACTTCACAGGCACTTTAAAATAAAAGGTTGTAAGAAATGTTTAGAAAAATTGCGCACGTTAGTGTTGGTGTCTTTGTGAGGCAGGTGGTGCGTTAGGACCGGGAAACTCAACACCTCAAGTGAAACAACAGGTTAAGGAAATCAGCACGGTGCAAACCCTAGCTTCTCTGTTGGTRTGGGGGTGCATTAGTGACTCCGGCATGCACAGTTTACACGTCTGGAAACTTATTGCTGCTGGTTGATTTCTGACTTCATATAACTCCATGAGACCGTGTATCAACATCCTGCTGTCTGATTGTTTTAGTTCTCATTTGCTCACCTGCCTCTGAACCACAGACTAGATTGGATTCTCCCATCAGTCGCTGTCTCTTCTCTTTAGTCACTCCACTACATGTGTTGCTTCTGTTTGCTCAGGATAATAATGACCTGGAGCCAGAGGAGGGTTGTGTGGAACATTATCTGCACAGTTTTATTTCAGTCATCTCCAGACATCACAGACCTATAAAGTTTGTGTTTTCATGGACAAACGTCCGTACGGAGTGTAAATGCTCTGACGCAGCGAYGGAACATTAAGAAAGCCGTGTTTGATTTCTTGCTGCAGTCCGCAGCGCTCCTCTTCGATCCCTCCTCGCTCAGTATGCATCAGTGAGCCTGGGCCTGATCCTCAGAGGGCTGTAAACTCCACCACAAGCCTGACAGATCATCAACTCAATTATTAAAGCTTCCCCTTCCACCTGGCTCTTCCTTACACATAATGTAATACACGACTGCCTGGCCGAGTCCCAGGCGGTGACGCCGCTCCTCAACAGGCTGCAGATTTATGTGCCGATGAAGGGGCAACACGACACGAGAAAGGATCACAGCGATAAAGACGGTCCCGGCAGCACCGGTTGAATTGGAGGAAGTGCAAATTGAGATTTGATGTCTGGTTGGCTGCGGATGCTGCAGCAGCGTGGCYCGAGGAGTTCCACTGAATAATACATCCCTGTGAATGACAAGGTGATCAATGCTCTGCAGAAACCCTGTACGGCCAGGACCGATCAGAGCGGGGCTCTAAAGCTCTCTCTGATGGAGACRTGATGAGTTATTGGACCACTGGATTCACAGGGATCATGGAACTGRATGAGGTCAACCCTGAAAAGGTCACCTGAAACTCAGACCTTAAAGTATCAAATCCTGTTTACAGCTCTGATACGCTGAAGGTTAAACTTTAGATTATTTCAAAGTTTTCTCCACAGTTTGTATTTAACAAAATACAGACTATATGCAACAAAAAATCAGTTTTATGATAAATAATGTTTTGTTCATTGCTGAGCAGCACTAATCTAAAAATTAGTTCCACTAGCCCTAAAACACTAACTCAAATATTTAGGTCCCCTAATTCTAAAGCACTAACGCACTGAAAGTTTTAGCAAAAGCTAATTCTAAAGCACTAAAATAACAGAGTCAACCCATGAACATTCTTCAACAGACAACATGAGTCACATGTTGTTCTCAGACTTATTGTTATTCCACAGCTGGATTTGGGCTCTTTTATTGTCAATATATTGTCACCTGGTGGATAAGTGACACACAAATGAACAAAATGTGTGACAGCTTTCATACTGTTAACAATAATGTTGATCAATAACATTTACAGACCTCAGTTAATGCTGCTAAATTTAGCCTATAAATTTAGCAAGTGCTAATCCACTAATAAATTGTGAAATGATCAAAAGCCCTAAAGCACTAATCAGGAAATCTGTTCCCTATTAGTGCTTTAGGGGAACTGTGCCCACSCCTGGTTTTATTAATGTTATTATTAACGGTTTTAAATGATTTTTTTGTGTTTTCAGGGTTTCCAAGGAAAAACTGGTCCACCAGGCCCAGGGGGAGTCGTTGGTCCTCAGGTAAAAAAAATAAAACAAAAATAAACACTAAAGAGRGGAAATGATTGATTGGTTTGGGTTATTGGCCACACTGTGCTTTTAGAAATATTGTTACTTATTTATAAAGTTTTCTGTTACTGGTATTATTTTCTCTGATGTTTTAAAGTTTACTCCTGCGTTGTTGAGCTGCAAACACTGATCTAAATGTGTGATAACGTCTCAGGGACCCACTGGAGAGACCGGTCCTGTTGGGGAGCGAGGACACCCTGGACCTCCAGGACCACCCGGAGAGCAGGGTCTTCCAGGCGCTGCCGGCAAGGAAGGAGCCAAGGTACGGCTGCAGATTAGTGAGAAAAATATTCCTCTGTTTTCTCATCATTTCAATAATGTAGAAATAAAATAAAAAGTCATCCTGTTTACATAAAACAATGTTTGAGTCAAACGTCACAAACTAAATCATCAAACATCAAAGGGACAAAAGGTTTTTTATTCATAGATCTACAATCAGTTTAAAAAAGCAGCCTCTCTGTCCTGGGACCCCCCACCACCCCCACCTTCCACTGCCAGGCCGCCTCCTCTCATTTTCTCCCTACCTTATCCAGACAGACAGTTTAATCAAGTCAATCGGCTCGGTCCAAACCCAGCATCACTCACAGGACCCCCCCCCACACACACACACACACCCTGCTCAGACTGGGCCATCAGTATTCCAGGGTTACAAACCCTCCAACACGTCTCAGRCCAGTTGTCTGTGCTTCACAGTGTGCAGAGAAAGTCAACCTGTCAACGAAAAAACAAACTTAAACAGCAAAACAAAACATCAGAGAGAGAAAAAAGATTTTATTAAGTCAAATAACTTCAGTGAAGAAAGTTTAAATAAATAAGAAAAAGAGATTGTGCAACAGCAGAAGCACTGAATCACRTTTATTATTATTTATCAATCATTCATCTGTTTCTGATGTAATTTAGTTTTTTTTTCTGCAGCTCTGAATAAACTCAAACATGTAGATCAAGATGTGCAGCTCAGCCAGGAATCATGTGATCTGATGTTTGACAGCTTCAACCAACAATGTGGATAAAAGTTATCAAAACTCTTGTTTTAGTTTCTTTTTATAAAGTCTCTCTGTTGTACCAGAGATCAGAGCACATCTGACAGAGAGACTGCCAGCAAGCTAAACGCTAACTCAAAAACAAATGTAGAAAAAGGCAARCTAAAAGCTAAATATCAAAAGACAAACTGAAAACTGAACTTAGCAAAAGACTAGTTAAAAAGGTTATTAAATGACAATTAAAACCTAAAACAATCTAGCTGAAATTTAAACATGTCAAAAAACTTGCTGGAATCTAAAACTACCAAAATACCAGCTGAAAAGTAAACATATCAAATGCTAACTAAAACTAAAATATCAAAAGACTAGCTGAAAGCTAAATTTAGCAAAAGACTATAGCTGAAAGCTAAATTTAGCAAAAGACTAGCTGAAAGTTAAATTTAGCAAAAGACTAGCTGAAAGGTAAAAAAAAACTAATTGCAAACTGAAACCAAAACATAGTTAAAGGCATTTTGAAATTTAAACATATCAAAATACWAGCTAAAAGCTATAATAGCAAAATACTTGCTGAAAGGTAAATCTATTGAATGCTAACCAAAAGCTWAAAATAACATGAGTAGCTAAAAGCTAAAAATAGCAAAATACCTGCTGAAAGATAAATCTATTGAAATCTATCTAAAAGCTAAAAAAATCTAAAGGCTTGCCTCAAGCTGAAATTAACAAAAAGCTGGAAGCTAAAAGTATGAAATGCTATCTAAAAGCTAAATGCAGCAGAATGTTAGCTAACAGCAGCTAAAGCCTGGCTAGAACTGTTTTTTTAGGTGATGCCGTTTTGTGATGCAAACATTTGTRAATAAAAATATGTTTTGAAAAYGACAAAAGTTACAAACAACACCTGTGTCCTGAATCAGCTGAACGTTTTCATGTTCAAACAGTTAAAACAGGTCAGATTCTGCAGCAGTTCGATTCAAACAGCCTACAGAAAACATCTAACTCTGCAGAAACATTCAGTTTTCTGTTGAATTCTTTGAAACTGAAGCCTCCAGGACCCTCAGGACCCTTAAACCAGCCGGTGCAGGCAGATGGTCTCCTGTCCTGAGCCTGGTTCTGCTGGAGGTTTCTTCCTGATTAGCAGGGAGTTTTTCCTCTCCACCGTTTGCTCAGGATGGGAGACTKTGATGAAGTGATTCAACACAATCTGCTGCTTTCTTCTTTACATTGTTCTTTTTATGTACAGTGCCCTGAGACAACGTATGTTGTGACTTGGAGCTGTAGGAATAAACTTGAACTTGAACTTGAAAGAAAGAAGCGGCTGTAGAYGATGGATGAAACCTACAGTTTGTTGAATTGGTGCAACGTTGGAAACAAATGAAGTTTGTTGTGTCTGTTTAGGGAGATCCTGGACCTCAAGGCTCTGCTGGTAAAGACGGCCCCCCAGGTCTTCGTGGCTTCCCGGGAGAGAGAGGTCTACCTGGCGCCACGGTAAGACTTGCTTTGTGTTTTTGGTTCTGTTGGTAGAAAGAGACGGAGCTGTGCTGCTCTGTCTGGAGCTGCTCGCTTCGTTCCAGGCAGCAGCTCAGGAACTCAGCCATCAGCAAGGTGCGACGGGAATCCAGAGCGACATCTAACAAATGAACAGACAAGTTTCTGCATCGCTTCAGCGCCACTGAGCCTGTGGTTCAAACGGCGGCGCTGGATAATGGGCCTCTGCTGCAGAACTCAGGGGTTCATCTGTAAAGTGTTTAACTCAAGGACTTCAGTGGTCTTCAGTGGCAGCAGGTTTTAGGGGAGGGGCTGACAGAGCTGTTTGTTTCTGTGGGGATATTTACTAAATAATTGATCAGGTGAGAAATGTTAGCAATTAGCTTTGAAGTGTGTGGGAGTGGACGCACCGCGRGGAGACAAAGTGCTCTCCGTCCTGAAGGTCAGCGAGACGCCGCAGGACAGCGGCTCGCCTGATGCTTTTCTGCCGCCGTAATTTAGCCGGAGCCTCACAACCTCATTACACACACTGCCATGTGCTGCTTTGTTGCTCACAGGGGAGTTACACACACACACACACACACACACACACACACACACACACA